GGCTCCTCGGCCTCACTCCCCCCCCACCCCCGCGGAGCGGCCCGGCGGCCTCCCCTGGGCTACCGCAGGCCCTGGGGCTGGTAACGCTGCCTCTAGACACGACCCTGCCCCACGGTCACCCCTCACAGGTTTCCGGCCCCGCGCAGGTGCGAGGCAGCCACCGGAGCCTCTTGCCGACAGGACTGAGTCAAAGCCGAACGCGGAGCTTCGCCTCAGGCCCTGCAGTGAGACAGTGGCGGGGCCGGGAGCGCAGCCAGGGCATCGCCTGCTAACCCCGTGCTTTGCTTTCTTCATTGCTCCAGCCCTTCGCTAATTAAAAGTCTTTAATTTCATGCTCCGGCAGCTGCCCAGTTGGCATAGCCCTGCTCATTACGCCCAGGCCTGTTTTGGGGTTGAGAAAAGCGAGCTCTCCTGGTCGGCTGCTCCTCGCCCGTGGCGGTGGGAGCTGCTGGAGGTGCAAATGGTTGTGTCAGAGAGATGTAACTCCCAGCATCCCTCTGTGGGGAGGGGGAGAGCCCGGGGAGGGGGGGCTCTGTGCCCCTGGGTGCTGGTGCTTGGAGTAGGATGGGGCTCCCTGCGACACAGACAGAGCTGTTGCCTTTGAGTTGCTCAAAACCGCCTGCCAGGGACTGTCCGTGTGTCTGGCTGGCACTTGTCTGCCCAAAACGAGTCGCTCTGTCCATGGGTCTCCCCACAAACACCGCTGCTAATCACGGGGGAACCCACCGACCAGTTTGAGTTTGACTGAACAGACGAGGTCTCGACTTTCGATGCCTTTTGAGACAGTAACTACCCAGCAAAGGTGAGGGAAAGGCTGCAACTCATCCCAACCACCTCACCTGGTGCCTGAGGACCTACGCTGCACAGCCGGGGGCTCTGAAACCACTCGACAAAAAGCGCCGGGATCTTTTGTCGGAGCTGCAGGAGTAGAAGCAGAAAGGCTCTGCAAACAGCCGCAGGAACGGGGCCAGCGTCAGGCCCCCATCCCATCCTCACCTCTCCGGGATGATCAACCACCAGCTCACCAAAGAACTCCATCAACTATTTAAATAAATAAGCACGGAGTGAAGTCGGTGTTAAAACCGTCGCCTCTGAGCAGGATATTTATACCTTCCCCATCGATCGAACGACCTGGGCTTCCTGCCCAAATCAATGCCAGCACCCACGGGGCGAGGGGCAGCCCCTGGCAGACCTGGCAGCGAGGGCAGGCAGGTCGGAGGTACGGGCAGGCGGGCAGCACCACCCCTGCCTGCTATTCCTGCAACACTGCAGCTGCCCGGAGCGGCCGCAGCTGCCAAAACCAGACACCCTCTTTCCCTGCCCCAGCAACTCGCCGGGACAAACAGGATGCCAGAGACAATAGTTCATCTGAAAAAACGTGGAAAATGAGCGTGGGCTCCGACGCCTCGCAGCGGGGTGAGGTTTCCCAGCCGTGGGTGTCTTCCCAGGGCAGCGGCGTGAGCAGAACCCCCTTCTTTTTGCCAAGAAAAGTTGGATTAGATGATCCTTGAGGTCCTTTCCAGTTTTCTGATTCTTTATGCAAAGGACCAAGCTTGCAGACACAGCTGAGAGATGGGGGACAGGCTGAGCAACCCCCCCCAAACCCAGATAGCCCCAACGCTGTGAGCAGGGAAGCTCCGGAGCATCCAGGGAGGGAAAAGGAACCGGAGCAGCCAGGGGAAGGTGGTGAGGAACCTGGAAGCCAGTTTCCAAGCGATTTTGGGTCATGGGCTTGCCTTGCTCCGTCTCACTAATCTCCTCCTGGAAAACAAGCCACAAAACACCCACAAAAGCCGGGGTGCGGCCCAAGGCC